GAAGCATCAAAGAAGTATGCAGCTTTCTTGAACAGCAAAACTGGTCTCTTTGTCCCCACCTTTCATGGGCTGCAGTATGAATCAATGTGTTCAAAATCAAGGGCTTCTAGGCCTTTCTTCCCCCTCTTCTATTTCCACTGCAAATAAGTCCTGATGAAAAAAATCATGACTTAGTTGCTGGGGAGAAAAGTGTCTAGACTAGGTTGTGAATTATTTAAACTGCTGTGGATTGTGGCAGAAATAATGCATGGTGCTGGGTCTTGCCTATGTCTAACTAATCCCAACTGCTACTTCTTGGGGTTTGGGCTGTTTTGCTTTCCAAGACTCTGTAATGGAATAGGTTAGTTGAGGACTGTGCTCTTAAGTTCAAACCTTAGCTGATAGGGCAAACTGGTAGTAATACCACCTCTAGAGTGGTGTGGTTGTGCTTTTGAATTTTGTCTCTGAAAAGTGTTTGGTATTCTGATGAATGTTGATTAGTCAGATGCATGTGGTTATGTTTGAAGTCTTAAAAATAGTCTTGTTTCAATGCTAATTAATTTCCTAGAGCCACATTTCTGAACTAGCCTGAAGGCCACGTGGTAGAAGTGAAGTGCATCCTCTGCCTGGGGACAGTGACCCAGAATGACCTGGCATTCTCCAGGATGGGAATGTGCACACAACCAATTCCTTGCTGTTGCCATGCAATATCATCATGCATGGCTTACCTCAAGACAAATGACTTGCCTTTCTATACAGAGAATAAAACTATTGCATGCACTTATCTTAGCATCACACTGTCTTCTGGACAGGCTGGTCTGTCTGTCTGGCCCAGGGGCACAGACAGTGGAACTTTGCTCTGCAGACTGGGGCTGGTGCTGTTGGCAGGGCTGTAAGTTCCACACGAAGATGTCTTTTGCTTCAGGTTGCCATAGGTGTGTTCAACACATGGCACTGGGATGCAACACATGAATTTGGGTTCATGCTTTTCATGCCGTTGCTTTTCCTTGATCTTCAGCTTGCCAGGTAGCTCTGATGCTCCTGGGCCATGGGATTTTAGCAGCTGCAGGCTAACACTGTTGGTGAAAGTGATGACCCTGAATTCTTGCACATATTCCCTGGCTGTCTAAATTCATCCAAGTATAGGAAGCTTGAAGTCTGTGTAAAAAGGAAAGGATTGGTACATTGTTCTTACTTGGAAGGAGGAGTGCTGCTGTTTGGTGAGCTACTTGATGAACCATAGAAATGTAAAGCCACTGTAGTCTCCTCCCTGGTCCAGTGCAGTCTCTGTCTGTGCACTGAGGCTTTCGAGACCAAGCTGGGTAACACCCTGAGCTGGCCTTTCTTTGTGTAGCAAGTCAGACCATGTACCTTCAAGGATTCCTTCCAGCATGACTTTTCATCCCGTTTATGTTGCTGAGACTCTGATATCACATGTCCATGTGCACATAGATGTTCCAGTTCTGGTAATAATATCACCTCAGAGCATTGGAGCTATATGATATCAATGTCTTCCCTTAGCCAGGCATGACTGAGATGAAAGTGGAAATACACCTTCATAAAAGTTCCCCTTTCAGATTTCCATATATGAGAGCAGTGCATTTCAACTCAAGGAAGAGATTACTTACAAACCTTATGGATTTGAGTTTTTTCTTACATAAATGCAGCTTAGAAGGGGCAAAGATTATAGGAAGTTGAAGAGCCAGCGATGAATCATTGGGAGAGAGGTGAATGGAAGCTTTGCCTTTATGCAGAAGAGAGAAGCAGCATTTTTATACATAGAAAGTTACTTCCTCTGAAGTGGGTAGAATTTGTTATTTTAAAGAAGGATAATCTTCAAACAGGTCTCAAAATCTTGAGGGTGGGCCATACTCTATTAGAAAACTGTCTGCACCGTATGATAAACTATACCAGTATATAGGTATGTATCTATTTAAATTTGGGCACCTGATTCATATAAGAAAAGTCTTAGGATAGATAAACTTTAAGTTGATATTCTCTTACTACAGATGATTGTGAAAAATACCTGAGTCCCTTTACCTTAACCAGCTAACAAGAAAGCATGTTGCCTTATGATTTACTTGGAAGCTAATTCTGTCTTGGCAATAGCTCTACTTTTCTTGCTAACCCCAGTGTAGAAGTAACATGCACTTTAGTGGCTTTCTGACACATTGTGAAAGCTGAGTTGAATTTAAATTGTGTGTTGTGCTGCAGAGTCTTTTCTGTGCTGGTAACTGGAGGATGGACAAGAGTTAGTGGAATTTGTGCTGGTGGGCTTGTCAAGTCTTACCCAGCTGCGTACTGAGCAAATCTTTTTGTTGGGGCTTTGTACTGTGGGAACTGAATTGGTGGCTGCAAGAGTAGGGAACTTATGTTGTTTTTCTTCTGTTCTCCTCCTTGTATACTGGATTTGCAGTCTGCTTGCTCTAATTTTTCTTTTCATTGCATTTCTGTGGTAGGCAAGAATAGCCCTGTTTGGATTCTGTAGAAGATTTTGTACTCGAATGACATCAGGTCAGTGCATACAGTGACAGAGAGAGAACCATGACTAATGTCACATCATGTGGGTTGTTTTTCCCCCTAGCCCTTTACAAGTAGTGCAGTGTAGCATAGTATCTGTTTTAACACACTGTGTATTGCTGGATACTTAGTGTGGCAAGAATCCTTCAGGAGATGTTCCTTCCCCTGTCTGTGACCAGCCCCAGCTCTGTTTTTCTGCCTTGCATGGATGGGCATGTTTGTTGTCAGTACCTGATGCTGGCAGAGGCTGCTTGCTTTCCTCCCCATGTCAGAGCTCAGAGGTAGTAACTCCTTGCAGTGGACTGTAGCATGTATGGAAATGGCTTTTTACCAGCCTCTTCTATCTGTGTGACATCTCCCACGATAAACACCCCCAAACAGACTGTGTTAGGATAGCTCTTGCAGTTTGATTAAATGCTGCTTGTATATGAATGTCAGTGGATTGTACTGGATTTTTTTGCAGGGCCTTCAACCCTACCTTGCACTGAAGGGAAATGGCTCTGAAATGCAGACTTCTTAAAATTTATTTTCACCTAAGGGAAATGACTAGAAATTCAGAGGTAGATAAAACTGAGACAGGTATAAGAAGAATATTTGTAGATTATTTGTTCTGACTGTAGTGCTGGATACTTTTGGTTTGTTCTTTTCCTGTAGAGAGAGTTAATGAGCATTTTTTTCCTTCACTCATTACAAAGTTACAGGGTTGGAGAATGGAACCATCAAAATAATAGGAAAACAACACATGGTATAGAGCCAGAGACTTCATAGATGAGCTAGAGATGAAATCTGTTATATCTGGATGCTGTAAAAGGTGTTTTCTGGAAGGGAGAAGAAAACACAGATTGGGCATTAGTTAAAAGCAGCAAAATGATTGTCATCCCCATCCCACACACCCTATCAGTCTGAAATCAATTCAGTCCTCCTGTTCTACTCTGGTCTGTATTTTCAGAAGTGAAAGGTATGAACGTGTGTTCCTTCAAGATATAGATCTTTGAGGGAGGACACTGTGTACTTGTGACTTGGGAGAGGACAGAAGGAGTGGGGAGCCACCTCCTGAGCTTGAACCAGGGAGGCCTTTTCCCAGCCCACTGAACTAACTGCTTATGTCTGGCTCAAATGTAAGACATGAGATAGGGAAACTCCTTGTGGAGTAACCAAGGGGACAGAACAAATGTTGAACATTAGAAGTAAACAAAGCTAAGACTGCCTAGGAACCTCAGGCTCCTCCAGCAGGAGCACCCAGACTGTATCATGCATCATGGGAAAGCCTGGCTGCCCATTCTGCCTCACAGCAGGTTGTTGCCAAGACTCCTGGAATGAGCAGACTGAGGTGCTGTGCCTCTCAGACTGTGAAAGTCCAGGAAAGCAGGGCTGGTGCCTGTGGTGGGTCCTCCCAAATCCCTTGCTACATGCTGCAGCAGTTGAAATGACTTCATTGGAGAGCTGTCTGGACAGCTGGATTCTTTTCTTCTTTTGTCACCTCTGTGGATCTGTGTCAGGAACAGTAGAATTTTGTATTGCATCTTACATGTTTGTCATTGTTATTAGAGAATGCTGTTAAATAAAAAATCCATTAGAAAGCATGTGCTGAACTTTTTGCAGCATGTGTTGGGCTGTGAGGTGTTGGTGCAGTTGTGATTGGTGAAGATCCAAGTTTTCAAGCAGTGGTGTCTTGTAGAGATCCAGTGTGGCGTAAGAACCTGTACCAATCAGAGTAAAACAGGGATATGGATGTGTAGCCCATCCAATTAGATTTAAGAGTATAAAGGATGTCATAGTATGATGCCAGACAAGGGTCTGATAGTAGAAATTTTTATTGTAGGGACCAGTAGCTGTGCATCTTCAATTAGCATACTCTGCGTTAATTGGTGGTGTTGGATAATGATAAAAGAAAGAAGTTCAGTAGTACAAAACCCAGGGTTTTTTCCTTCCTTTGGAAAGGGAATGATCTTGTGGTTAAGAGTCTCTTGTGCCTTGCCAAGAGCTTGCTGTGTGTCCATGAGCAATCTGCAGGTGCTCAGATTTTCCAAGAGAGGCCTCAGAATTTCCAACTTTGTTTCTGTATAATTTTCCAGTTAGGAATTTTTTGTTTGTTTTTTCCCCTCAACACTGCTGCTTCACTTGAAGTAGCAGATGCCTAGAAATGATCAAATTCAGTGCATACTGGCACTGAGTTGAAGCACCCAAGATCTGTAGCTGTCTCTGAAAATATAGGCCTTAATTTCTCTGTTTGCTGATTCCTGCCAGAGGGATTGTGTATCCTGCCTTTATAAGTGTTTGAAAGGCATGGTAGGAGTGTGCAGTGGTCTGTTAGAGCAGCATGGCAAAGATGCCTTGCATGTGTAGGAATTGTATTTTCATGGGGGTAGTGTCCTGAAAGTCATCAAATCAAGAGGGAAACCACATGTGGAAAAGCCTTTCTGTCAGCTGGTAAGTTAAGAATAATATGGCTATACTGCTGTTGGTAGGCTTCAGTTAAAGATGATGTTGCCATTTTGCAGGTTTGTCACTGGAGCGCTCAACCAACTCAATTGCCTCACGTGCTCGACTGTGTGAAAGGGAGGAGGAAGTCATGGCTTGTTTTGAGAGAGCCTGTGTTATTGCCCAGGTATACTTGCAGGAGCTTGAGAAGGTAAGAAGAAATGTGCTTAGTGTATGGCCTGGGTGAAATTTCTAGGGGTTTGTCAGCAAAAATGAAAAAATGGAGAAATGTCAAGTGATCATAGCAAGGAGTCTGAGAACAAATTGGAAGAAGTGAGGTGTCTCAGTAAAATCATTTGCAAAACAGCAGTTTAGCTGGTCTCTACCTATTTCTTCTAAGAATGAGGTCTGGAAACAAGTTCTGCTTGGGGTAAAGCACCAAATACTTTGAGATGCACAAGTTGCATCTCAAGTTTAGCCTTACTAAAGAGGACCTATGAACTTTGCATGGCAGGTGCTGGTGTGAAGGAACTCAAGGCATTTTACATACCTGCTGTGTAAATGATGCACAGCAGTGACTATTGAGATCCCTAATGAGCTGAAAGAAACCTTTTTGGATCAGCCATAGTAGTTTAATTACCAGTGCTTCACCTTCTCCAAGTGAACCTTGAGGAATCCTGATCATTAGAACCTATTCCTCCATCCCTGGAAGTGTTCAGTGCCAGGCTGGGTGGGGCTTGGAGCTGCCAGGCATAGTGGAAGGTGTCCCTGCCCATGGTAGGGAGGTTGAAGCCAGATGATCTTTTAAGGTCCCTTCCAAACCAAACCCTTCTGTGATTAGTAGCAAGCAGCTGCTTGGCCACTGGTTGGTAGGATGGACACTGGGGGCCTTCCACTGAGCCGTGCAGATAATAGGTGCTGCTGATTTGCTGGGCATGTGCAAACCTTGCCTAGCTGAGGACATACCATGTGCTTCCATGCCCTTCCAATGCCACACATTATGCTTGACATCAGCAGTACTGATTGTTAACAGCATTGTTATCTGTCCTGTAACTGAAAGGCCTTTGACCTTCTGACCAGATACTTCTGCTCTTCTCAGTAGCAAAGGTGTGTTTTTGTGTCAGGTTTTGTTTTTAATTGCATTGAAACAAGAAAAAATAAGCTTAGTGCATGTATAAAAATTCATTAAAAAAGCCAACTGAGAAGAGGCCTGCTCTGTTTCTCTGCAGAAAAAAAAAAGTGGAATAGTCTTTAAATTGAGATGATTACTGTCCTTCCATTGTGGAAGGACGAGTTCCTGCTGGTGCTGGACACTGTAAGTTTCTTTTACTGACAGCTTGGGTCTGCAAAGAAGGAAAAGGATCTGATCTGTAATTCGCTTAGAATCATACAATCAGTAAGGTTGGAAAAGACCTCTGAATTTACTGAGGCCAGCTATTAATTCAGCACTGCCATGTTTGCCACTAAACCATGTTTCCAGGTGCCAGCACCACATGCTTTTTGAACACTTCCAAGGATGATAATTCCACCACTTCCCTGGACAGCTTGTTCCAATGCTGGACCACTCTCTCAGTGAAGAAACTTTTCCTTATATTGCAACTTGAGGCCATTTCCTCTTGTCCTATCACTTGTTAGTTGGAAGGAGACTGACCCCCCCACCTCCCTACAACCTTCTTTCACATAGTTGTCTCTGGACACGAAAATGCAGGGTTGATGACAGACACAGTAGAAGTTCATAGTCCTTCTCCAGTGCTAGAGGAAAAACCCTGCTTTGGAGAGGCAACTTTCAGCTATGGAAGCAGCTTGTTACCAGTAAGGAAGCACAACCAAGGAAGATTTGATGGGACAAATAGAGGAACGATTAAGATTCTTTCATCAGGACTCCTGATGGCTTGCTAACTCTTAACAAATATTTATGTTATATTGAACTAGATAAACCTACTCAAAACATTGTATTGTTATTTCTGTGCAACATACGGGATCTTTGTAATTTGTGTGGTATTTCCCAAGCTGCTGGTGTTACTATGCAGCTTTCTACTTTATTAAAGGTTGGAAAGGTATCAAAACTCATATTGCATGCAGAATATCTCATGGAAGACATAGTATATTTTAAAATTTATTTTATAACATTTTTGAATAGCTGATAAGTTTAATTGTTGAAGATGTTACTGGCTCACAAGAACCTGGCTAGTTTCAACAGTTACCTGTATTCCAAGATATTTCTTTTTTTCCCCTTACAGACCTTAAACAACACACATTCAAGGAGTATCAAGGGCAGCAATGTGACTTACTCTGAGTTTGAACTTTCCTACTTTCTGGAAGCAGCTCTACAGAGTGCCTACGTGACTCAGTTAAAAAAAGGGTAGGTGGATGGAGGTATTAATAAAATTAGATAATATTGCATGTTTTGTCTCAGATGAAGACTTAATTTTTTTCTTATGTTCTGTTATGACTTTTGGCTGCTGGCTCACCTCAAGTCTCCTCAGTGTCCTTCCCTTTCTTCTGTTTGTGTCTCTCTGTCTTTCTTAAGAGTCTTAAGAGTCGTTTTTCCAGACCTACAAGTAGGATGGGGTAGAACAGTATTCTTGTCTTGACTCAGCTCCCTGTGGAGACAAGGGGGGTATGACTGTAGAGAGAGAGTGGAATTTACACTGCTTTGTGCCCTTAAAATTTTCAGTGCCTGGTTTAGAGCTCAGTAAAATCTTACAGGTAGTTTCTTTCATTTATTTATTTGTTTGCTTGTTTGTGTTAGATCTTAAATATGCCAATCAATGCCGCAAATCTGTGTGGTTTTACTCTGGAGAATGTATGCAGGAACAGTGCTACTCCAGGGTATTTATTATGCCTCTGAAACACAGCTCCCAGTGAACTTCAAAAGGGCAGGAGGAGTTAATATCTACCAGCCTACAATGAATTTTATGAGCCTACAGTGAAAAACCTTCTCAAGATCATCAGGAAAGCCTCTGGACACTTCCAAAGGCCATTGGTGAGGACATGCTGTTCCCTAAACCAGGCCATGTCTTCAAAACATAATTAACTCTGGTTATCCAATGGAGAGATTTTGTCATGTAGGAGAGTGTCTCTTCAGCATGTGTAAACAGCACTTGTAAAGTTCTGTCCTTCCTTAGTCCTCTTCTTGCACCATATTATCCCATTTATTATCAAGGAGTCAGATTCTGGGTTTCTCACCACAAACTGTGTTCACAAATATTTAATTTTGTCTTTTTTTGCCTTCACCCCCAGCGAAAGATACTTTCCCTCATTTTCTTCACTTCTTTTCCTGCTGAGTAGAATGGGAAAAGAAAGCAAAAAAACCCCAAAAACCTAGGAAAAAAACTCCCAGTAAAAATCAGTTTAAATCATTCTGTAGAAAACTGATACTATTTTTTGATTCTGCTGGAGGAGAAGCTTGCTTCTTCTTTAGAGCTTTTTTGCTACCTTTTTATCCCTGAGGATGACTTTAAATGCAACTGCGAATAGCTGCTGTTCTCCATGTGTGTAGAGCAAAGCTGTACTCTAAGCATATCCGTGAGATGTGCCTTCAGGTAAGCCTTGTTTTCACCTGGAGGCTTACAAAAACACAAAGCTCAGATGTTGTAAAATGACCCCTTTAGTCAGGCAAGTACAAGTTTATGCATAAAGCAAAGTATGAACTTGTACAGCATAGTCTCAGTATCTGCTTGGTGTGTGTTTTTCCCAGGTGAGCTGAGGGTTGGCCAGCTGTGGCCCAGGATGTGCTTTCCTAACCTTCTGCCCTTCTCAGGGCAAACAAAAAGCTTGGGTCTTGCCAGTCAGCTCATTAACTATGTAGTAAAATAAAATCCCATTTAGAACATATGGCACTGATGTCCTCCAGGCACCTTTTGAATATCAAACTCATGTTCATTTTATTCAGCAACATTGTAAATTCAGTCTTCATCAGTGATGAGTTCATTATATCTAGCAGGATATTTTGGCCATTGGGAGCCCTGTGTTCTCCCTTCTCATATTATTTTAATGATAGCCTTAAAAACAAAAACCAAATCCCTAACAAAAACAAACCACAAAAAATTACAGGAACACAATTTGAAGCAAAATACATGTGTGAATTAAGCCATGCTTTGATTATAAGCTGAATTGCTGCAATAGCAGCAACATGTTCTCTGTAGCTGTCTCCTGATGAAAGAGCAATGGAGCTCCTGCAGCTGGGATGGAAGTGGAATCCCACGGGCTCCTGACCTCCTGCAGAGCAAGTGAGAAACGCCATCCAGGGTTGCAAAGTCCGCTGGGATAAAAGGAGCCTGGTGGGACGTGGCAGCTCCTCTGCCCCCGCAGCTGATACTAATGTGTGGTTTCTGCCACCAGAGGGCATAAGCAGCATTGGGATATGTTATGGGAAGGGGAGGGATATGAGAAGAAGTTTTTTAGGATGCTTCATGAGTATAGTAGATTACTCCACCTGATACTGAACAGCTCAAAGAAATGCTTTTGTTCCCCTTATTGCTTCCAGCCTGTTCAGGTAGGAAATAGGCCTTGGATGATGACTGCTCAAGCTCTCAGGGGGTAGGTCCTATCAGGTGGGATGTCCTTCCCCAGTGCTACATGTGTATAAAAGGAATGGTGAGTGTTTTATTTTTGTCTCAACGGGCAGAACAGCTCAGGGATACAAGTGCTGTTGTTATGCTTTTGTTCCTGTTGGCAGGATCAGATATGCTCTTCTCAGAGTGTGGTCAGGGATGCCCTTTTCTCTTGCAGTGTGCAGTGAAAAGAAGACACCAATATAAAAGAAAGATCCAGTCTCCCCTTCAGGTGTTGAACTGCCAGCTGTAAGGAACAGCAAGTCTTGCAGCTGTAGAAGTCACAGATGCTTTTAATGAGATGCCACGTAAAAACTTCGTGTTGCTGAAGATGCGTTTCCTGCATTGTTTGCCATGCTGGAGCCCAAGAAAGCTTTCTTTTGGTCCTCCAGTGAGGAATGTTGATGCTGTGGATGCAGAACATAGGAAGGCAGATGCTGTCATACTGTAAGAGACAGCCAGTTGTCTTAAGGTTATCATCTCCGCTAGATTTTGGGTTTTGGTTGATTTGTTTGTTTTGGTTTTTCTCTGATGCAGATATGTGAGTATTAGGCTAATTTCTTTTTGCCTTTTCTTCTTGTGTCTATGTATGAACAGCTGTTTAAGGATAGGATATGGTTTGTTAGAAACCTGGGTGAGGTGCAAAGATGCAAAAGGAGATGGGCAAAGGCAGCGATGTAGCTGACGTTTCTATGCTCTGGATACTGCTTTACTCTGGAGGGGTGATGCTGCAAACTACCAAGAATTATCTCAAGATGTTCTTTTCTGTCAGCAACTGATTGTTTTCGCAGTAAATGAGTAGGGATAAAAATATGATGTGCTGGTGACCATGTTGTTTGGGGACTGTCTTTGCAAACCTCTGTGTCCACAGTCCACTCCTTTATTGTCAGTACTTTTTCCCAACAATTTGCATAGAAAATAGTGTACTTCTTTATTTTCTAGTATATTAACATTTTATGTAATGTTAACCAAACTGTGTGACATAACTCTGATATGACTGCTTGACTGCTTTGATTCATGGACTGGTAATTAATTTATATTGACATGGTACATGCACAAAACAAATTTTTATGCCAAGCTGGACTGACTGGACTCCAAAGTTGCTCTTTGTCACAGTTTGTGCCCATGATTGTCTGTGTTCATTTTTATTAGATTAGCTGTAACTGAATCTTAAACTGCTCTTCATCATGTTTTTTTTCAAATGGTGCTCTAACCACTACTGTGGCTAAAACTAAAACCAATGCAGTTTAATGATCATGTTCTTTTCCCTTCCTGTTTTTCCTCATTTCTTTTTCTGGCCTCTTAGCAATACAATAGGGGCCTATGGACTCTTCCAACTCATTTAATTTCCATGATCTAATGTTCACTTATGATGCCATGGCTTGAGGGAACATTACCTGGGATTTCCAGGTAGTCCTCTATCCAAGTCCTGCAGAGACTCAAGATTGTTTAGTTTCTGATCTAAGTAAGATCAAGTGTTTGCACCATGGATTGCCAGAGGCTTTATGACAACATCCTCATCCAGTCACCTACATAGCATGTATTTCTGTTCCAAATACATACTTTTCTTTTTGTTAATTTCTTAAGGTCCTAATTAAAAAAAAGTCCCTTCAATTGCACATTTAGTATAGAAAGGGCACATATTAATGGAACAGTGAGTTCATTATTGTTATGAACAGAGCAATTCATATGCTCAAAATGAAATGTGCTCAGATGCTCTCCTGGCTTGGAACAGTGGAGTGGAAAGACAAACTCCTGTGTTTGCAGGCAGGTGTGCTCTGTCTCCTGTCACAGCTCAGTTATGTTTGATAAAGTTCAAAATACAAAAGCTGCCAAGCCAAATCCTCAGTCCTGTAGAACTGGTATTGTTGAGAGCTCAGGGGATGGAGTGGCTGCTCTTTGATAGATCCTGACCACATGGGCAGCTGTCTGGGAGGTGAGTGCTGGGTGCTCCTCCTGTGCCGCCCATTTTGCACTCCTGCCTTCTGTTAAAGGTGTTCCTAAGCATTTGTCATGTGCTGCATGGTTCCAGCCCTGACTACTGACAGATGGGCAGCAATTTGCCATTTAGTCTTTCATTCACTTCAGTGTATCTGTTCCTTGTTTTTCTTCTCCCCTTCCCCCCAGCCCAGAGCAAGGTGTTTCTGCCAGGAGGCTTAACTTGTTTTATGGCCTTGTCTAAAATGTTGGACTGTAATGGTGCCTTAGTTTTCTAGGAACAAAAAACTCATTTTATCTCCTTTGGTAGGTTTTTCTTCTTGGAAGTATGTGCCAAATGTGAAATTAATTGGCTTTGCAAGTGGTCACTTGTCTTCTTCCTGATGTTGGTTAATGGAATTCATTGGCACCTTATTAAGACAAATATCATTATGCTAACAAGAGACCTAAATAAATGCATTTTTGAAAATGCTGTAGAACTGTTATACTCCATAACTCTTCTGTCCAGCCTCCTAAGGAGCCCATGGAAGAACACAAAATGCTGACAGTTTTCAGTAATCAGGAAGAGCAATTGGGTAGCTGAATTGTGTTTTGATGGGGGAATTTATTAATTATTTCTATCTGATAGTAAATACCATGTAAACAGTTCTGTTGGATTTGGTCATTACTTGTGCATAAGGTCCAGAACTGCATCTTCATGGGTATATTGTATTCTAGAACCATGAAAAAGCTCCTGGTGTCTTGGCCCTGTCATTGGAGTGCTTGCTGAAGTATTTAAGTCCAACTTCAAAAAACATTCTTGACCTTTTTCCTCTTGATAAACTCAAACATTTTTTACTAGGGAGAAAGTGGAAGGAAAAAAGACAGCATCTGACTTTACAAGTCTTCAGCTTTTTTTCTCTTGTCTTACTTTCTTGCCTGCCTGTACACTGCCCGTGATTAGAAAGGCTACAGATTACCTCACAATTTGAAACTGAGATGTGTATTGCTTGGCAGTAAGGCCATATGCATTTGCAGTCTGTGTCATGGTGACTACAAGCTTTAGGGTGGCATTTTATGTAGCTAGTGTTCATGGTAAACAGGATGACATTTTCATTTATGCACCTCCAAAATAATTACCTTTTTTTTTTGTTGTTATCAAATGTTTGCTGTTGGTTCTGGAGTGCAAGGAGGTTTGCAGTGCATGAAAGCAGGCACAAGTGAAATTTATACTGCTTACCTTCAAAATTTAATCAGTTTGACAGAAAAGGTTTTTATGGCTTTGTTTATAAATGAAATCTAGCTTTTGTCTGCGCACAAAATTCTCCTGGATAAGCTGAAGTGACAGTTAATGTACCAGTACAACTGCTTATTTTGTTGCCTTGTACAGCATTGCTTCTTTTCTCTTAGCTTGTATGTGTCTGGGTGGCTTTGACCCTGCAATGAATGTGCATTGAACCATTTTGCAGTTACTGTGGTGGTGGGGCCATGTCCTTAGCCTTGAACAGCTGATAGGCTGCCAGTGTGTTAACTGATATGTACAGTGTTCAATCTTTCCTCTCTGCATTTCCCTGAGTGCACAGGCACGATTAAGATAGCATTTGGCAACTAGTCAGCTTTAATTGCTCATGGTGTATGCAAAATAATGATTTTTTAAAAAATTTGGTTTTTTTTAGTCTAACCCTTTTACTGTGGGTTAAGCTGTGCTTGCAGACAGTTACTGCAACTTAGCTGCCTGATAATTAACTGTTTAAACCACTGTAATTTCATCATGTGCCTGGACCATCAGACACAAAGCATTTAAGCACCACCTAAAAGAAATCGTCACTTTAAAGCATCACGTAAGCTCAATATAATTCAAACAAGTACAATCTGTGTGTATGAAGAAGAGATGTGGATGCTTTTAAGGAGCAGCATCTGTTTTATAAATGAGCTATGAAAGGCTTCCAAATGTCCCCTCTGTTCATCAAATGTGAATGTGATCTTCTCTTAGGAAGCCATCTGGAGTAAGCAATGCTGCAGTCAGTGCCTTGCTCTGTGCCATTGTCCTGTCTGTGCCTCAGAGTGACTTGTCTCACTATTGCACACTCAGTGTTAGTGATTGTTTCAAGGGTTGCTTGAACTTCAGGTGTGGTGCCGAGCTTTGGCACATCGTAAAAATATTCTATCTCCATTGTGCTGATTTTTGGGGGTTTTTCATTATTTTTTTTCTGTCTTCCCTATAGAAATATTGTGAAAGGAATGAGGAGTCTGCGAGAAGTACTACGGACTGTAGAAACAAAAGCTACTCAGACCTTCAAAATGGTAAGGGAATGGGAAATGGGAGGGTGGGGCAGTCGGGTATGCAGGACTTCTCTTAATTGGCCAGTGTTGTAGCACAAAAGTGTATTTGTCCTCACTTGATTGATTGCTGCCTTTATTTTTTTACCTTTTTTTTCTTTTTTTTAACTTTTGGAAGTCATATGTCAAGTGATCCCCTTAATTCAAAGACCTGCCCAATTGAAACCTCCAGGCTTTCAGACCTAGGTGTGTACGTTACTTTTGTTTGGTTTGTGTTTTGTTTTTTGTTTGCTTTCTTGGTTTCAGTGCATTTTCTATCCCTAGTAGAAACAGAGATGTTATTAGTTTGACAGTGCTGTGCTCAGGTGAAGCTGTCTTGTTCTCTTTCTCAGTTTCAGTGTGCATGCACACCTTTCTGCATTTGCATGTAAAGGATTAAATACTTCTGTCTCTTGGAACAAGCAGTGCTTTTTTTAGACTGACATCTTTCAATGTTCCTTCTGTAAAAACCCTCTTCAATACAGTACAGAGTGATTTTAATTGTTTTAAATTTTGTTTTGGTGTTGGCATTCTGCTTCTTTGCATCCTTTTATCCTGAATGTCTCAGGTAAAGAAATATTTATGTGCCTGTTTACCTTCTTGGACCTTTCTGTCTCCCCTTGGAGGGATCTTGTACTGAAGTTACTCAAGAGGTGACAAGGTCAACAGCTTGCAGAGTAACAATCTTGGGAATAAAAGCTTTGCAGCCCTAAAAGCATTGATACTCTTACAGCTAAACTTGTACTTGATTCTGCTTTGTGTTTTGTATCATTCCAGAGAACTTGGGCAGGGGAGGTGGGCGTGGGTTTGTGTAGTGTTTCTGAGACTACAGATGCATGTGGAAACTTGTCCAGCAAATTAGAAGAGATGACTTAAATAATTGTCCACTCATATGGTTGGATCCTTTTCCAAGCTGAGATCAGGGTTCAGCAGTATTTTTGTGCTCGCCTGTTTTATCACTTTGCTGAAATGAGCCTGACCATCTGCTGCTCCTAGACTGTGACAGAACGTGGCTCAATTGCTCCTGTCCCTGTGCAACTGGGGACAGCTGTACAACACCCTGGGGGATTTGTCCCTTAGGGGAACTCTCAAGGTGTTCATTCAATAGCTTTTCCTGAGATTTAGAAATTGCATTTTCATCTTCTTATTTATTTTTAAAGAGCCATCAAGAGAGCAAAGGGAGGATTGTGCTTAATTAAACAAGTTTTTCAAGCATGAAAGTAAAACACATGATTTTTTTTTCCTCTAATTTGTGGGATCACAGTGTTCTTCAAGCATAATGATGCTTTTTTTAGCCAAAGGCAGAAATAACATTAATCAGAGTCTTGGCCTTTTCTGGTTTGTTTGGTCTTATTCAAAACAAGAGTGAAGCTAATTTACACAGCTACTGTACTGTATGTTAAAATTAAAGACACTAGAAGTGTTTGTTGCTGCCTTCTGAATGGCTTACCACAAACTGTACTCCTACTTCTGTGTGAACCAGTAGAGATCTTTGTATTGCTGGCAAATTATTTTCCCTCCCCTCTAAGACTATAGGAAAAAATATAGGAGAGTTGACTCCTCAGGGTAAAACTGACTAAATAATTACACACTGAGATGATAAAATGATACTGGCTAATGTTGCAGGGCCCTGGGCTATTTTGCTCATAGTTACTTGCTATAAAAAGCACAGAAAAGCTTAGTTAGAAACAGACAGCTTTCTGTAACTTGTCAGTAGCAGGGCAGGGAAGGTCTTGGGGTTTCCAGGGAGTTGCATGTGGTGACATTTCTTTGAGACACCATGGTACACTCAGCCCACTGCCATCAATGAAGCCTCCCTTTATGATGTTTAAGGGGTGGTACTGTGGTTGTATTTTAGACTAATTCAGTGAATTCACGTGTGGTGAGGGGGTAAAAATCAGGAGCCTTGCATCAAAGGAAGTTATTTTGCTGTAATTGGGAATAGGAACTTTTAAGTGTGGCTTATTTGATCCCATAGATTTTGAGGTATGACATCTATAACGTATGTGTCCTGATATTTAAAAGAAAATTACTGTTGGTGGGCTCATAATACATCTCTAAGTGTACATTTCATATAAAGTACATATCCAGTAGTCAGAGAAGTTGCAAAATGCTATTTGCAATTATTAGGACAGAAGTGCTGAAGTTTCAGCCTGCCCTCTGTTTTGTGCAGGATTTACTTTACAGCAAAGAGTGGTGTGCTGCTTAGAATTCATACAGGACACCACCCATTGTGATGTCTCTGAGCTTGTTTGCAGGCTCATCTATGTACAGTGCAAGAAATTATAGATTTGATGGGTATCAGGCCAGCGTAAATGCCAAAGATACTTCTGCTTAGTGAAGTTAACTTGCCTCCTTTTGGGCCCAGCTTGCCAGCTGTGCATATGAAGTGGAAAGCAACTATTGAAGGGTCTTTGGCTACTTGATGATAAAAAAAGTACATGTGATGTTGCTGTCTCACTATAAAGTTCCTAAGCATCTTCTCTCCTCCCTCCTTTACTGCAAGAAGAAGAGAGAAGCAGTACCAAGATGAAACTATGAGTCTATAAGGGAGAGTGACATGAACAGATAAAAGGTTGATCTTTGAAAGCTAACACAAAAGTTGCCTCTGCTCTTGAGACTTGCATACAAAGTTCTGAGGCTGAGCACACGATGTCCTGTCATCCCACTCCTATATAGTAACTATTGTGAGATTGTCTCAGCAGTCCATGTGGCAATCAGTTGTCCTTGTTCACCAAAGCATCCCTTGCTGTCAGGCCTTTTTAATAACTTTTTTCCTAGAGCATTGCAACAAGACCGTGTAAATGCAGAAGTTTGGTCTTTTCTCAGGAGGGAAGAAACTGTCCCTTTTGTAGACCTTAGCAGGTGATTTTGCTACTCCAACTTTCTGAAGAGTGGTGCTGTCACACTGGTACATCTCCTTCCCAAGGTGGAAGGAACATAGTGAGAGGTGAATCTTTTGTTTGGAGAAGGTTTCACTGATATATGTCTTTTTCTGTACTGATCTCTAGACTGCAGCCAAACAGTTAGCCCAAGTACTTCTGCATTCCCTCAGTGAAGACTGTTACTGGAGCCCTTTATCTGATCCACTTCCTGAGTTCATGAACAAGGAATATCAGTCTTATGTTAGCAATCTTCTTTGTCGGAGGCCCGAGCTGTACTCAGAAGAGAAGTAAGTGTTCATTTTTATTTCAGTTCATTGGAAGGAGGAAGGAGTGTATTTGAACACTCCTCAGTACTACTAATTATGTCACTGATTCATGTAGTAGTTTTGTGCCTTCCTGTTTTTCAACGTCCCACTAAAAAGTCTGCTGAAAAAATAAAACCTTAAACTTTGAGTGTTTCCCCCCCCACCTCAGGAAGAAGCAAGTCCAGCCAAAGGGCTGTCTTTGCTATGAAATTGAAATAATCTATTTAGGGTTCAGCATAACTCACTAAGATATATTGCAGAGCTTTTAATTGTGTGAACCTGCAAAGACAGTATTACCTAGCAAATGAATTATGCATGAGATGTTTCAAGTTACTGCTTCTCTTGTGAAATGAGAAAGAGGCTGGCAGGATAACTCTTGATCTTCCTCACAAAAATGTGTTCTGTCTTTCAGTGTGTACTGCCCTCAAGACAATGTAGAAGAGGCTCTTCTCCTCCTCCTAATCAGTGAATCCATGGTAAGCCAAAAATGAGTTTGTAGTATTAATAGTGCAAAGGGATATCTAGCATTTCCTTGTCTCCTGGTTGGTTTTGTTTACAGAATCTTCCCTAGATAAACAGAAGCAAAGCTTCAGATGCTGAGTGGAAGTGCTATCTATTCTTTTATTAGTGGCACCCCCTTTTTTAAGTGGAATTTCCGTGAAGAGTTTTGGGAATTGTCAATAAGAGACATTGATTGCATTCACCATAGCTGTATGCAGGTTCTGACATCCAGATACATTGTCAGTAGACAGACATTTCCATTCATAACATCTGTGGATTTATGGATCAAGAATGAGAGGAAGAGGCCTTGCCTAAAGCCAGGCATGATGGTGGTACCTGCTGTTAGGAATTGCAGGATGCAGTACTCAGCTTTCATGCCTTAGTCTGCAGTCGTTTGTTTTTTGACAGTTTCTGATGCAGTGATACAGGAAATCGTGTGACCTGAAGAAACAGTCATAATAAGCTGCCATGAAATAATTAGATTTCTTCTATTTATAATGTTGGTGGCTTTAAAAAATCCATTTAAGAGGCAGGCAGAAAACTGGAGGAAAAATAATTGCATGGTGACCTTTGGTAATTTTCATGTTCTGAGAAGATGCAAATACACAGAAAATGTGTAAGAAATGTTTTCTGAAAATGTGTAAGTAATGTGTATTTTGCTTTAAATACAGAGTGGTCACTTGTACTTCAAAATGAGATTCAAAACCTTGGAACATCAACAACCTTCTTAGAAATTTTTTAATAACTTTCAGACAAATTGAAAAAAGATACTGTGGAAACTTTGGCTTTTGCTTTCTTCAGTTTTTCTTGTCTGGTTCTTCTGGCACAAGTCCTTTTCCTTTCCCACAAACTTCTTCAGAAGAGGGCAATTTAATATTGTCTGCTTTTAAAATTCAGGGAAAAATTGAAGAGGTGGAACCACCCCAAAATATTAAATTGACTTCAAAATCATGTACTTCTGAGTGTTGCTATGTGCTTTTCAGTGTTTTCTAGATTAAACCTCTTCATCACATCTGCTTTGTGTTTTCAAGGGTTTTTCTTTAGTCAGAAGGGCTTTTCATAATTAGAAGTGGAGACTACAGGAGTGAGGGCTTGTAGGATATCATGTGCACTTCTATTAAAATCAGAAGTACTCCTGTCAGTGGGGGCTTGTTGGGGCTGCTCCAAGCAGGAGGAGGATTGGGGTCTGGAGCAGTGACAGAACAGGCTGCTCCAGCCTTTGTGGGATTGGACTTGCTGTTATAGAGTCCGTATGGAACCTCAAACTCCACAATCTTTTTCTGCTGAGGAGGAGAAAGTTATCCCTACCTAATAGCACTTAAAATGTTGAACTAACTGGTCTTTAGCTAAATTATGGATGAAGTAGTGTGAAAATGGTATTGGTAGAAACAGGACTGCTGTGGTGAGTTCCAGGTTAAGTAAGCTTGGTATATGCTTAAATGCTGCTTCTGATATATAGGAACTTCCTGGAGGAAGATGCAAGGCACTTTGATTTGCTACATATAAAACAAACAAGAGAAGCTCTTTTAGCAGAGCACTGTAGGAACCACATAACTGTATTTCTGATTTTGGGGAAATGGAACATCTGAGCCTTCATCTTCCATCAGCCTTGCCATGAGTTTGTTCTAACTAAAATTCAGGACAAGAAATACACTTAGGAATCACATGAATGTTCTTCCTAAGTGAAGGAACAGAGGGAGCAATCTAATTTTTACATATGTTTGTAATCCATAAATACTTTTGTGTACATTTTTATTATGGTACTTAGAAAGGGAAGTTTTGTTTAACTTACGTGACATGTTTCCCTAACAGCATTGCTGTAGGCTAGTGAGTTTTCTCATGTGCAAGTTTGTTGTTTGTTTGAAGTTTTGGTTTTTAGTTTTATGTATTTTTTTTTTCTTTAAAAAAGCAATTTATGGAATCTCATGAAATGAGCTAACTGGAAGCAAATTTGTAATTGAGGGCTCTCCCTAATGATACAATGTTAACAACTGAATAAAACATACTTTGCTTCCTGGAGACAATGTCAATGGCAAGTGTTTCTGTGGGCCAGTAAGCAACATAGTTAGTGTTCCTGGATTTTGACTGGATTAGGTGTTCTTCCAGTATTTACAATTGTGAACCCCTTAAAATGAAACAGAAGTATGCAATTACATTGGCTTCTCTGATGCTTTGGTCTGTCAGAGCAAAACTGACCAGAAAGGTGGTACTTCTGATTTTTAAAGAGACAAAAGCAGTCAGGCCATTGTAACTCTCTTGCAGGACTGTAAAGCCGAACAGCTTCTTCACAAACCTGTTCCTTACTCCTGCCACTCTAAAATTACCTTGAAGAGGGACAGAATTAGGGGAAGGAGACACAGAAAAAAAATTCAGCTTGTGGAGGGGACACAGAGTAGAGATGAACTGGGGAGGAGCATAAATCATCAGAGAACCTCTAAGTAAATATGTGCTGAAAAGGAGATGTGGTACTTTTTCAAGAATTATACAGCTGGAACACCTTTGCTGCTGAAATCCACTTTGTATGTTTGACTTGCCTTCCTAAGGTGAAGCTGACATCTGCTTTGCCAGAATCTGTGTGACTTCCAGGAAGATGTTATGGGGGGGTAAAACTGTTCCTGTGAAGGAGAAAGCAAGAAATTGCCTTGAGATTCTTGAAAGCCAGAGCCTATTTCTCACCAAACCTTCTCTGGCTCTTAATGGTGGACAGTTCTGGCTTGTGGTTACTTATGCCTTTTCCTTGCATTGCAAGGGACTCAGTTTGCATATTCTGATGGGATGAAATGAGAATATATTCAAAGGAGGAAATTAACAGTTCCTTCACTATTTCACTCTGCCTTTGAGCCGAAGAATGTGAAAGGTTGTCAAATGGCCAAATAACATGGAATCCTCTTTCATGGCTCTGGAGATGTGTGGATATATTAACACTTTCACTGAAAGCTTGTAGCCTGCTTTGCCCTGGCATCTCACGAATTGCCTCCTGTGTTCTCTATGTCCTGTTAAAAATGGGAACCTATTTTCATAAGCTGAGGTATCTCAGTAAACAATGAGAAGAATCCTGGTTGTTGAGCTTGGCAAATGTTCCTTCTCTGTGCCAGCTGTTCTTTAGTCACAGCCTTCGGCTGTAGAGTTCTCATGAAGGAATCTAGTGAAACAAATCAGGCAGCCTGAAGATTGCCACAGTCAAAGCTGTTTTTATGGTTGTTTGTGGCCTCCTGGCTACTCTGTCATTCCTTTTGTATAGCCTAAGTTATGGTGTGGATGGGCTGTGTTTCTGAGAGGACAAAATGCTCTCCTTCAGACCAAGAAGGCCAGTTGGTGACAGCCTTTACAAGCTCAGGCTGTGGCAGAATGATGTGCTCCTATCACGTGTTGGAGAAACATGGCCTTGCCTATTTTTAAACCACTAGTCCTCTCTTTTACTGTATTTAACCCATCTAAACCAGTGACACTGATTGTGAGGAGAACTGAGGACATATTGTCACTTGCTGCAGTGTGATTTTTCTGCTTCACCTACCAATGGGAGCAGGACTGGTTCTGCCATCAGGGACTTTGGTGCTTTGAGCTGCAGGGTGTAGACAGAGGAGGTTTGGCATGACTAACCCTTAGCTGCAGTTTTGTTTATTTTAATAGCTATTCCCAAGAGTGTGCAGAGTTGACTGCACTGCCCTTAAAGTTAACCAGAAGCTTCTCAGAGCGAGGAATGGAACACTTAGTATTACTTTTCTGTGTTTACTTTTGAGGTTGAAAAAGAAAAGAAAAAGTTCTTTGTTTGCATTTAGAAACCTTCCCTTCTTGAATCTGAGGTCCAACATACAGTCTGAAATGCCTTTATTCAGTGCTGGCAATGCTGGCTCTTACAACTGGGGATTTTGGCTGGTGTGGTCCACCAAACAAACCAGGTAACATGGTTTATTTTTTTTGGCTTTGTATTCATTCATACTGGAAATAAAGCTCCTTGTATCCAAAACTAATAAATTCTGTGCCTGTGTAATGAAGATTAGAAATGTCATCCACATCTTATCTCTGATTTGAATCCCTAAAGGCGATTTGACCTTGGAGGGCCTGAGAGCATGAAACAGATGGTGAGGGGGAAGAAAGATACTGGGACTTGTCCTGTTCTTTTTACTGGTGAGAACAAACTTATGGCTGAGAGCACGCCTTTAACAGAATCACGTTAAACCCGTGTATTTTTAAACACAGAAATAAGTAAAACCTGTTAGCTCTTCAGTTCCTAGTTTTATAAAATAACACTGTCCAACAAATGAGTTGGTGAAGAAGAATCTCTTGTTGCTTTTGTAGGCTGGTTTTTCCTTTTTCCCTTTTTTTTTTAATGGCACCAAGCCCAGTGATGATACTACAGCTGGACGACCATCATGACTATTTTACTGAGGGCCATTGGACTGTGGCAGCTGAGAGAGACAACTGGGGGCAGGGTTGCCTGCTCTGTTGGTTCCTGCCAAATCACACTTGTGCATTTACAGTAGCAAATCTGGCTGTCTCTTAACCGGTTTGCAAGGCAAAGCTTTGTGTTTGGGACCTGCAAAGATGGACTGCAGAATGTTTCTAGTGGGAAATACACTACCTCTGCTAATTACCTCTTGAATAAATGTTTCTAATGTGAGTTGCTAGAGAGCAGGGTATGAGAGCTTTTTTCCTTCTGCTTTGCACGTGAGTCTTGTTTCCAAACTTGCAAGGAGGATGTAAATTCTTGGAAGATAGCTTTCTAAATCCAGATAACTGTTAGCAAATGGATGACCTTGTTACCCAAGATAATATCCATAAACAAATTTGCTTACTTTCTGCTTCTGTCTTCATTTTGTGTAGGGTTGTGTGGCTATTTTGGATGGGGCTGTATGTCTGTCTTACTTTCAGTGATGTTTCCAGAATTAGTTCTGCTACAGTACAAGGTGTTAGAATGCACCTGAAACATGTAAAATATATCTGTGTGGTCATATTTAATAGGCAATTATAAGGGGCTGTTTTGATGAATTGACATCTGAATTGGACTCCAGTAACTTCTGGTCTGTTGCTTACCAGAAATGAGACAGATGCCATGTGGTTCACAAGGGGATAAGTTTTCATTTGCTGTGCTTCTGGTCTGAAGTGGAATGAGTTGTACTATCTATCTGAGAGGAGTTTTGTGAGTTCCTGGGGCATGGTTTGTCCTCCCTGTTCTACCCACATGCCATTTTCACAGCAGCTGTGCAGTCAACCCTTAATATTTTCTTTGCATATGTTAGTGAGGGAAACCTTCAGGTGCTGTGTAGAGATGATCAGTAACTTAGGCAAAAAGTCTGTAGCCTCTTGCATTGAACAGGTTCTTGCCATTGTGAAGAATTAATTTATTTTATTGGCAGTACAGGCAAAACAGCCAGAAGGGAGACCCAAAGGATATAGGCTAAATATTCCCCAGCTCTTAGCAGAAAAGGCATCAATTGCATGATTTCAAAGGGCTGTTGTCAATCTTACACACACGGCATTTGTTTTTCTCTCTTAATGGTAGTATTGAATCACACCAATTACATTATTACAGTACACTGTGTAAAACATGCTGCTGTTCTGTATAGATGGGTTGCAGTGGATCTGGCAATTATGTCTATTATGAAAAGACACAAGTTGAACATTCGAATGCCCATGAATTAGGGGGCAGGCAGCAGGCACTCATTAAAGATTTTAATTGCTTTCTTTTTCTTCTTTGGGAAAAAGCAGGGGAAGCCATGTTTCAAAGTGAGCAATTAAAGGATACTTCATAGCTAATTGCTGTGAGAAGGGGCTGCTACATGGAATATACTCTATTGTAATTCATATGATTACTTGACGTTTTATTAAGAAACACATCTTTGTACCGTGGTAAATTTAATTTTCTGCAGTATAACTGTGTGCGTAATAACTGCTGAAGTAATGGCTGTTTGGATTTGCTGTGGCTCTTTTCCTTCCTTCCTGAAATAAACAAGCCATAAATAAATATCACTGATGTACAGCAAATCCTCTGTGGATGGGGGGGTTTATCTAGTTTGCAGGTGAGTGTCCTGTGTGTGTGGGTAGGAAGGCCCGAGCTGTGTGCAGCTCAGCACCGCGGCTGCTCGGAAAGGCAGAGGCAGCACAGGTCTCAAAGTCCCCTTTGGTGGCATTGCTGTGTTTGGAGCCAGAGCGAAAAGCCCTGCTGACCCCAGGCTCTGTGCCCTGTCAGGTTCAGAGACACCACAGGGCCTGGATGCTGGGTTAGCTCAGGGCTGCCAGCTTGGGCTGGAGCCCCTTGGGGGTGTGTGGCCTGCAGACGGGCTGTGCCACTGGGCTGGGGAAAGGGAGGCTGAAGATTCTCAACGTCCTAGGTCTGGGCTAACTGCAAAATGTGTCCAATCTCCCCAGATAGGACTGGTGTCATGTCTGAGCCCCCTACATGCACAGCTAATTGTGCCTTATGCGTCCCAAAATTTCCAAGTGTGATGCATCTCCGGGTTGCTCAATTACCTTGGAATACTTCAAAAAAAGGAACATTTACTGTATATTTTTGCCTTTATAATGCAAGTTATGCTAATTCCCAGTGGTGCAACTTGTGTTGGTAGCACTAGTGTCCTTCCCCATCCCACAAAACAGCCTTGAACAGAGCTTCTCTAGGTGTGACTTTTCATCTCTCTCCATCATGCTTGTATGCTGTGAATTATGTCTGTGTGACAGTGGGAACGGCTTAAAGGGAATAGTCATGGTGGGGATGTTGAAAATGTATTTGTAGCTATGTTTTACTGCTGCTAATAGTGGAGAGGGAGGAAATAATGCAGTAGGACAAATTGAAATTGCTACTTATGTTATGGATACACTGCTTGAGACCAGTGTTGTACAAATAACCTTTTTTCCAATTGTGTTCAGGAAAATTAGTGGTCTGAAACAACAGAAATACGAGTGTTGAAAAAATGTTGGTTTTAATAGCTTAGAATTTTTTGCATTCTCAATGCAAAATGAAGTGTCTCTCTGTGTACATTTCAATAGGTAAAATTCCCCATCCCACAGAATGGGGGTATTCTTCATTGCAGTAGCTCTGCAACTGTTTTGCCCCTGTACTTGCCAGTGACTGTCAGGATTTCTCACTGAGAGATTAATATTTGCAAAAACATAAACAAAGGCAAAGAAAATAAAAAGGTTGATGATTATCTGAGGGACAGCAGCTTGCCCTCTGTGAGAGGCAGGCCATAGAGACATGCCAGTTTCCTGAGTGGGTTTCAGGAAATAGTGATTCACATTCCCTTCTCTGAGCTCTGTATGGACACTGCAGTAGTACCTTGAGCCTTACTTAGGACAGTGATTTACCTTATTGTGTTAGACACAATCCATATTCTTGCTACTGTTCAGTCAGTTTTTTTATGAGGTTTGTACCTTTTGGTTTTGGGGTTTGTGGGGTTTTTATGTCCCTACTATAATGGGGGGTCTTGATTTATTTTTTTAGAGCAGCTGGAATTAGCAATTGGGAATAGATTCTGTATTAAAGAAATTGTTGAGATAGAAGTAACAATGAATTTGCTAGTGGCAACTTTTATGCTTTTATGGAAGCATAGAGAGTGATAGATTGCAAAGACCTTCTATGGCTTTTAGATTTAAAACCTTGAACAAAATCAGCAGGCTTATGACCTTCTTGGAAAGAATATTCATGATGCCTATGCATATGTTGCATTTAACTGCTGTCTGCTTGGGTGAAGTATGATATATACAATACATAATACTACAATTTTAGAATGTTGCATCCTTGCAGTATGCCCTGTATTCCTGCTTTTGCAGGACTGGGGTGTGTTCTTCATTCTAGTACCAGTATCTGTGGCAAAATGTGATGGACAGTCATAAGTTTTGATTAATTTTGTGTCTATGCTAATGCATCCACTTAAAAATCATAGCTTGGTACTTGATGGATACTCAAAAAAGCATCAGGCTGTAGCTGACTGTAATGGGAGGTTGTTAATGAGATTGCAGAGCATGGGGGTGCTGTCTCAGTAGCTGTTTGCTACGAACAATTGTCATAACAATGTAACCGGTGCAGAAAAAGCTGTTAATGCTATTGTATATATGTGGGAGGATTCACTTGGCCATAAGGATCATACAGTATATGGCTTTACTTAACTCCTTTTTTTCCTTTTAAAGTAGCAGTCTTATGTTAAATCCAAGCAGAGCTTAAGCATGTATTTATTTTTTAATTTTTTTACATTCTGCTAATAAAGATAGACAAGCTATGCCTCTGTACTCTTGGCAGAATTTTTAAAGTAGTTTTCATTCTGTCATGCATTCTGTTTTTCTGAACTATTTTTTTTAATCACGAATTGCATCTTTTGCAGTAGCGTGAAAAAGAAAAATGCCTTTGTGGCTGCAGGAGTTGCTGTAAGTTTATTTGTGCAAACACTGGACTGGGTCTGATCTGTCAGCTTGCCTTTAGCTGCAGTCACCATTTAGCTCTTGGTTGAGATTGTGTTAGTTGTCAGTAATTTTGTTTGCAGTCTCGGCTGGAGGCTGTGATGAAGAGTGTTTGGAACTGGGGCATTACACAGATAAAATCATGATGAAACAGCTGCAGCTTAATCACAATGAAGTATGTGTGGGCTTTAAGGGCTGCATATTCTGGAAATTTTTATTATGCTTAATTCCCATGTTTAACCTTTTTGCAGAAAAAAATAATCTCACCACAATTAGAAAGAAATAGGTGTAAGATTATAGTTGTATTGTAAAACAAATCTCATAACCTTCCTGTTTCAAGGAGGGAACATTTTGTTTGCCTTTGCTCAAGGTGAATTTGCTGGCAGTTTTCTTGATTTTTCTGCTGTTTTAAATGTCTAGACTTGAGTGTCTGATGTTGCACCTCTTTTTAGCTGAGAAGCCCAGGGCAGTGTGTCTGTGCTATCAGATGGTGCTCAGGCTCAGTGGCATCCAGCACTGCCTCTCCCAGAGGCTGGGTAGTCTCGGTGAGGCCCTCTGTGTTTGGAAATCAGAAGGAATTTTCCCTTTACTCTGGAATTGTCATCTCCCTCTTTGTGCCCAGAAAAGCACAAAGGGCTGGGATTTGGAGGTAAATCTGAGTCTGTGGCATGTAGTATTTTGGGATGTACTCAGAAACTGCTGAACTGATTGTTTCTGTCAAAAGTAATGTTTCTTCTCGATCTAGGCCCAGCGATGTACTGATAGATTAGCAAAATTAAGACATGTTTTATATATTTGAAAAAACCAATTTGTTATTGCATTGCCCAAACCTTTAATTGCTTTAAGTTGATGACAGGCAAATCTGATTACTTAGGCAACCTGCTCAAATTAGACAATAAAAGGTCAGTAGCAAAAAAGAACAACAAAAATGGATGCTATTGTGAAGAAATCTAGTGTAGACACGGAAGATAAATTATGAAACTTGGAAGCAGTTATCATAGTTGCAGGCAATTGAAGTAATAAGGAAGATGGTTTAAGGATGGCCTTGAATTTTTAATTAATGAGAAAATAAGGAAGATGGTTTAAGGATGGCCTTGAATTTCTAATTATTGAGGAAATGGGATCTGGTAGGTCTGTTTCATAATGCTCTAATTCTGTGACACAAATCCAGATGAGATATGTGTAGCAGTTCCTTCCTGTAGGTACACCTATCTTCTTGAGTTTCCTTCAGGTGGGTAGAAAACAGCTCTGTGGAAGCACCTTCGTTATGGTGGGATAAACTTTTTTTAAAAAAATCTTGAGATGATTTTAAATGAAATGCAATGAGTGGTGGGTGTAGCTTCCTATGGAGGAGTCAGTTTTGTTGTTCTCTCCTGGTTTCTGATGGCTCTGTCATGTGTGCGCAGGCGAACCGGGACGCAGTGATCAGCCGCGCCCCAGAGCAGCAGGATGACCGAGCTGTCAGCCTCCGGGACGCCTCTGCAGTCTACGACCTCCTCAGCATCACACTGGGCAGAAGAGGGCAGTATGTGATGCTGTCTGAGGTACCTCCCTCGGCCTCTGCCCCTCCCAACATGCTGGCAAAGCCCCTCTTTGTGGTGGCTTGTCAGGGAAGGTGAAAATGGAGCGTGCTATCAGCAGAAGCAGCTGCAGAGCTGTGGCTGCACAGGCTAGAAAGGCACACAGAATTGTTGGAGACATTAACATAATTTATGTGTAGGCACTTGAAAAAAGTGGCTGCCTTTTGAAGCAATGGTGTACACTAGCAAGTCCCATTAGCTGAGAAGTGTAAATGTGTCTTGGTTTGAAAAGACAGGAGGCTGCTGAGGAAGGCAGGAACCTCCCCTGAAATGGAGAACGTAAACCCTCCCCACCCCTCTGAATTGCTATAAATTTTAAGTTAAGGAGCTCTCAGGCAAAAAATATGGGAGCAGGGAATAACAGTTCTTTAATAGGGAAGAAAAATAAAAGGATGAAATGAACAATGCAGTACGCTAGAACAACACTGACAGAGTCAGAAGCCAACCTGACACCCTGTGGGTCAGGGTGCTGGTAGCAGTCCAATTGGAGTTGTGGCTGCAGTCCTCCTGAAGTGTCAGGTGTGGCTCTGTTGGAGCAGGGGGTCCTGTAGAAAAGGATGTGTTCTTCCTCCAAAGATCCAGTGGAAGAAGAGGCAGCTGCTGTTCCTTTGGGGAATCCAGTGGAGAAGCCATGCTGGTGTTCCAGAACCTCCAGATTATATCTGGGTAGCAATGCTTGGCTCCTCCCTCTGGGTGGAGCATCTCACAATGGGATGCTTTAGTTCTTATCAGCCATGCAGTGACATTCAGTAGTCTGTTATCAGCAGATATCCCCTCCCCAGGGAGGAGTGATTGTGGGATTGTGATCACTCAGAGAGAGAGATAAGGCAAACTGCCCACTTGACACAAGACAACTGCCATACAGATGGTAATGGAATACATCTTGCCTTGCAATCTGAAACAAAGTGGTGTCATTAAAAAAAAAATCACCTGGGTCTCCAGGGCCACAACAGATTGTTTCGTGACCCAAGCAGAAGTCTTCACAAAAGGTGTAAGGAAGAAAATAAATAAAGTCTGATATTCCTTTCATCATTTCTTTCTCAGTGCTTGGAGAGAGCCATGAAGTTTGCATTTGATGAATTTCACCTCTGGTACCAGCTTGCCCTGTCCATGGTAGCTTGTGGAAAGGTAAGGTTCTAACCAAAGGGCTCAGAAAGGGCACATTTTCCTCTGGAAGAGTGGATCTGGATTACTTGTTTGAATGTGTAGTGTCATGTGTGGGAAGTAGGTGCCAGCAGGCAGGTCTGTGAAAGGACAAGTGCTCTCCTTTTAGTCTCTGATTGCACTTTGTGATGAGGGGTGTGCGCTTGGTATTGAGTACTTTTCTTTCTGTGTAGTGTTTTTTTCTCATTACCGAGGAGAAAAATGGATTTTGTGCATAGCTGTGGGTTGAAAAGCATTATACAGCTGTCCATTGTCTGCAGGTTCAACATGAATGTGCTTAGTATAAGAAAGGACTGATGTCTAAAACTGCCATCAGTTCACTCTGTGTCTCTGGGCACTTGACTTCAGCTGTGGTTTCTCCATCTGTTGAAGGAAATGTAAATGTTTTTTCGTAGAGAACTTGTAAGGTTTAATATTTTTGAAGTGTTGGTGTAAAATGCGGTCTAGAAAAAGAAAATGTGAACGTTGGCATGGCCATGTGTTTCAGCATAAGTGGTTTCTTAAAATTAGTGTGGTATTTGTGAAAGTCACAGTAAACCACTGAGATGGCTGAAATGTGGTTGTGAGAAGTAGGCAAAGGTAACGGGAGCTGTTCTTTATTAGTCTTAAAAGAGTGGACTTCCTGTAGGAAATGTAGATGGTACAAACTGTAGCCAGTTCATTCTGGAGTCTCCACCTACACGTTTGGGAGGTATGAGCAAATTGATGCTGTGCAAAAGTGGACCACTTAATATGGTCCTATATTCTGTGCCCATGGAGTGTACAGGAATCCATGTGGACCTGAGTGGAGACCACCAACTAGCACTCACTTGCCAAATTCCAGCTACTACTGGTCTTTTATGGCTATAGGCTGAGCTGGAAACAGTGGCCTTGGCATGGAAATAAGAGATGAACCTATGCTTTTGCAAAGAAATTGTCTTGTGATGTGTAAGTGGCTGCAAAGCTTGGAAGTGGTCTGAAGGAATACCTTCACTTTTGTGAGCATAGGTAAAGCCTTATCTTGGAACACGGTCTGTTGTTAAGCATTCTATTTCCAAAAAATGGTAGAACAAGGAGAGAAAGTCTAATAAAGAGCATCAGATGTGACTAAGGGTATAGTAAGCAGTACTATGAAAAGACTGGAATGATTTTTTCACCTTAAAGGGGAGGAAAAAAAGTCTGAGAGAAGTCTGCAAGAGCTTTTAAAAGGAGGGATTAATCTTGTCTGTGGTGGTTAGGACAAGATGTGATGGCATCTAATTGCAACAACACAAGTTCATGTTTCTTATTAAGAGGCAAAAAAGTAAGGATAGCAGAACACTGAAAAATGAGTGCCCTGTGGAGATTGTGTGGAGCCCAAATCACTGGGGAGCTGTGGAACACCATAGGCAAAGCTGTAGTGACCCCTCAGTGAGGCACCAGGGGTGTCTTCTGTGGGACCTTGCAAACTCTGATTCTGTTCTGGAACTCCATCATTGTCTCCTTTTAAATGTAACAGATCTGGCTGATTTATGAGATACCAAAGCTTTGGCAATGCATATTAGATCAGCAGGGAGCTGAACAGAGATCTTGAGTCAGAAGGAGCCTCAGAGATTGCTACAGAAGTTTAGTACAAGCATTTCAAAATCCAATTCCAAGCTTGAAAGCAATGGCTGGACTCAGTCATGTGTAAGGAAACCTGAATGTACTGGTGGAATACTTTAACAATGAGCTTGGTGCCATGGTGCTAATACCTTGCACTGACCTATGTCAAGTGGGGGCTTACATGTCATGTCCAGCTCACCTTGCAATTCAGCTGGAGTTAGCACAGTCCTGCCCTCTGTGTCTGTGCAAATCCTGCAGCTACCTGAATCCTTGGTACTGAGGACAGCAATGATACACAGGCCATGACAGAAAGGCACAAAATTTTACCATGAACATGGGGTTTCTTTCTCCCAGAACATCTGGGAGTTCTATAGGCTTTACAGGTTGTGTAACCTGGTTCTCAACAGCAGACAATGCTATAGCTCTAGTAATCTGCTGGAGAGCAAATGAAGATCTTTAACTGCTGATGTTTAAGTGAGTGTATGCAGAGAATAATTGTGCTTCAGTCTTAGGTTAGCATAGGTTAGGAGAAGTGGGACCTGATCTTTAGCTTCTAACAACTTGAATGGCAGTTCCATTCTTGTCCATTCTGTGTTTGTATATCTCTTCACCTTCCCTACCTGTTAAAGAATATTTGTTACTTAGATATTTGTGTTGCTCTTTATGTTTTTTATCTCTGTAGCTGTCCTATCTTTTCAGATTTTCATGTACATCATATCTTTTTGCCTGTACTTTAAATATTTACAAGGTAAAATGTCCTGATCTTGCTTATCAATGTAAAAGTGCTAAATGTTCTGAGCCCTATATGGGTCAGAGGGAATTCCCTTACCCAACAATCCCATCTGTGCAGTATTTCGCTTCTAATCCCAAAGTATTCTCTGAGGATTCCTGACATATACTCTGCAATGCGTCATCTTGCTAATGGGAGATGTGGCATACATTTTATATTGCTTTGCAGCTTGATAGCAGGACAGAGTTCATTTACAAGCAAGTGCTGCAGTGTAGCAGAAAGAGCTGATGAGAAAACAGTATGGTCAGTCTAGACTGCAAAATGCAGGGTACACTTGAGCTTTTATAGGTGAAGATCTATTTTCACCTGTCTCAGTCACAGCCAATTCATGATCTCATTTCTTGGTAATGAAACCTCACATCCTGCAGCATTACTTGTTCTGCAGTACAGCAAATTGCACTCATAAATCCTAGGCATGACAGGAACAGTTTTATCAACCTGTAAATACTGGAAACTTTGGTTTCTCTTTTTTTTAAGCATGTTTTTAGGATTTTCAATTCTGACCTTCTTAAAAGAGCCATAAAATCCTATCTCGCCCTCTATTCTATACTGAATTTAACTAGAGATATGTTTCATTTGTATATTCAGACTATGTCAATTAAGTCAAATTTCAATGTAGTTTCTACTTCTGCCAGACGAGAAATTGCCAAATGGTGATTGTCATTTTTCACAAGCGATCAGTCTGAATGTCAGGCCAGCCACCTTGGCTCATTACCACACGTAGGCTTGAGTTTACACATTATTCTGAAAAGCATGTGTCTTAACAAAAATAGGCACATCAGTGAGTTCCTACAGGCCTTGGGGCTTCCTAAAACGGTAAATGAAAAAACTCAGGGAAGCATAACCTTTCTGTCTGTCTTTTATCCACTTAAGTGGTGGAAATAATGGAGTGGCAGCAATTTCACTTTCCTGTGTTTCTCAGAAACTTGCACCATAAGAGAGATGGTGTGCTCTGGTTGTTTTTTAACCCATTTTTAGGAATGCCTTTTATATTGAGCTCTATTCACTGAACAAGAGGGGCATGTACATCTAAATGACAAAAATCCACCATTACATTTGAAATACTTTTGTAGACAAATTTAGATGGGAAAGGAAGGGAAGCGCTGAGAAAACCGAGACAATGGCAAGGACGTGGTGGGAGATGTCCTGTGTCACCAAGTGCAGTTCTGAATGCAAAGATGTGTAAATCATTCTAATGCAGTAGCCCTGTTCCTGTGGTGCTGAATGCTGAATTCTTCACAGATGCTTTGAGTTCCTTCTGCTGGTAATAACCTCAGCTGTGTGGCAGTATCAGCTGGAGGCTGAGTGGGCATTGCAGCTCCCTGCCTCGGCTGCCGTGCGTGGCCAGGCGGGAGGCTGAGTGGCAAGTGGTGTAATAGCTGGGTGCCATCTGGCAGGGTCCTCAGGCACTGAGACAAGCCACTGTCCTGCTGCCAGAGCCAAACCAGTGCAGACAGTTGCATCTGCTCGTCTCAAGATTTTGAAAAAGTGACCAGTATGGAGCAACATGGGGGAAGGAAGGACCAAACTGGCTTTTACAGAGTGGAAAAGGCTTGGTAGCGTTCGCAGCAGAGAAGAGAGGGAGCTGCCTGGGGTAGATTTGTTCTCTGCTGCTGCTTTCCAGCTCAACAGTTTTCTCTGGAGGTTACCAGCACACAGCTCTCCTGCAGACTAGGATAGCTCTACTGGCATTTCTGAACTTGGAAGCAGAATTGTCATAGTGTCTAGATGATGTATTACAAGCACAAGGGATGTGTAATAGGGTCCTTGTGCACTCACAAGCATTTCCTTGGCCTTGGACCAGTTGGATCAGTTACATGCTCCTTTTTCAGGTCCCTTTCCACACCTACTACCCTCACACAGGGCAGAGCCTGGGTGTCCCAAAGTGTTGCTGGAACTCCCTGGGTGTAGAGAAGTAGTGCATAGTGAGTAGGCTCTAGCTTAAGTTTATGGTGCTTAAGAAAGTCTCCTAGATCTGCATTGTGAGTGTTAAAATACATGCCTTGGACAGCATGATGCAACATTGATGCCTGTCTTCTGCCTACCATACAAGGAGCAAGATTTGTGTTTAGTGATACTAACTTGCCATTTTCCTAATGGTAGTGAGGGAGGGATTCTTCAAGGATAGCAGTAAAATTATTCTGTGAACACAACTGAGTCTGTGTAGTCTAAAAGTGCTGGATGCCCTAGTTGAGCCATTCAACTCTCATGAGTCTTAATCTTTAAAGTACAGTGGATGTTTATTGTTGTTAGTGTATGCAATGCATGGGAACATTTTCACAGTCGTGTTCAACGTCTCTGCCTGAAAAAACCCCACAACACAACTTGGTTGGTGAATGAAGATGGAAGGCTGGAGTATCTGCTAGGAGAGGATAACTGCTCTCGCCCCTCAGCTGTGTACTCACTGAGAGGCTGAGGTACCTCAAGAGTGAGTAAAGGAAGACTTGGGAACAACGGAGGGGTCTGTGGGGAAAAGCCTCTGTGAGAGCTCAGGGGAGCTGGGGGCAAGGACTGTGCTCAGCAGGCCTCGTGCTGGGGTTGCTCATGGGGGTTATATGTTCCTCTGGTGCCTGCCACACAGCTCTCCAGCCCTGCAGAACATGGCCAGCTC